GCCCGGGTTCAATTCCTGGTCCAATGCTAGGGCTGGTTTTGGCCCATCTCTGACTGTAGTGCATGGAAGCCACATGGCCGACCACAGCCTTGGATCCCTGGTTCTGTCAACCTTGTGCCCAGAATCCTGATGAGTTAGAGGGTTATGGAAAGTGGGTCACAGAGTGGTGAGACCCTGATTCTCTATCATACACATGCTCTCTCATGAATAAAACAAAAATAAAACTTAAAGAAAAACATTCTCGTCTTTAGAACTGTCAAGAACATAGGGACCAGCAGTTGGCATAATGGCTGTGTCGCTGGACTCCCATGTAGTTGACAGCAGTTTGAGTTCCGGATCCGGTGGGTGGCTTAAACTCACGCTGGGCGCATGTGCATGCATGCCCAAGATCTCGAGAGAAGAATGGAGGAGAAGGGACTGCAGCGTGGCCATTTTTCCTGGGGGGTGATTTCTCGCTTTCTGTCTCTCTGTCTCTCTCTATCTGTCTGGCAAGCACATGAGCCCTATAGCAAAAACCTCTAAAAAAAATAATAAATAAATAAGAGAGCTAATCAACAGCTAAATCTAGGTGAAGAGTATACATACTTCTGTATTATCTTTGAAACTCTTCTGTAAGTCTAAAATGATTTCAAAATATAAAACTTAAAATGTCTTTTAAAAAGAAACAACTAGGGGCCAGCAGTTGGCGTGGTGGTTAGGGCACTGGACTCCCACATGGCCAACTGCAGTTCAAGTTCCAGACCTGGCGACTTTCTTTCTCTCTTTCTCTCCGTTCTTCTCTGGTCAAATTAAAATAAATTAATACGTTAAATAAAATAATTCCATATATATGTGTGTGTGTGTATGTGTGTATATATATATATAAAGAAACAACTATGTGTTCAGTTTTGGTGTAGTATGAAAAAGGAACAGCCATGATCACCCAAGACTCCGGTGAACTCTTCCCCCATTTCAGCCTTGTGTGTGAACCCAGATGTGACATCCAAAGTAACACGTCGCGACAGTAAAGCAGAAGCAGACCTTGGGAGAATCCACTTGTGGCCTATTAAGCCATTAAAGAATTTTTTAAAAGTTTTTTTTGCCATAGGGTGTGTGCATTCACTGGAGAGAGATAGAGAGAGGGAAAGTGAGAAATCACCCCCCTGGAGGATGGCCATGCTACAATCCCTTCTCCTGGGATTTTGGGCACACACATGTGCCTGGTGTGATTTTTAAGCTGCTGGATCCAGGACTTGAACCAAAGAGATTTTTTTTTTTTTTAGAAAATGTAAATCAATGCAATTCTCCTTACAAAACTTCTTCTTTGGGGGCTAGACAATGATAAAGAGTAAAACCACCCTCTGTGACTAACCCACAAAGGGACATATTAGATTTCCTGCTGGAGACCTCCCTGAGTTCACCAGGCAGACATGCGATGCCATCCGGGGTCGGATGAGGCTAGGGCGAATGGCGGTGTCAGGACCCTGATGGGGTGCTCTCTCTCTCTCTTTTTCTGTCTCTCTCACTTATGGAAGAAATAAATTAAAAACTTAAATGTTTCTTCTTTAAAAAAAAAAGAATTATTTATTTATATAATTTCATTCGTTACTATTAATTTTTTAATTTAACCAGACAGAGACAGAGAGAGAGAGAGAAAGAGAAAGCAAGAAAGCAAGCCACCAGGTCCAGGATTCGAACTGCGCTCAACCATGCAGGAATACAATGCCCTTAACCACCACGCCTCCTGCCGGCCCTCAATGTTTCTTCTTTGGAAAAATATGTTATTTTTCATTAAAAATGCCATTAACATTAATATAGAAGGGGCTTGTTATTGTAAAGGTTCAATGACTTAATAAATAGATGTTTTTTAATGTCTTAGTTTTGTTTCTTGTTTTTATTTTTATTTTATTTTATTTTTTTTTTGGAGAGATTTTCACTGTAGGGCACGTGCGCTCGCCAGACAGACAGAGAGAGACATAGAGACAGAAAGCGAGAAATCACCCCCCAGGGGGGATGGCAATCCCTTCTCCTCCATTCTCCTCCATTCTCCTCTCGGGATCTTGGGCACGCACGCACACGCGCCCGGCGTGAGTTTTAAGCCACCGGGTCCAGGACACGAACCGCGGTTGACTACGTGGGAGTCCAGCGACATAGCCATTACGCTAACTGCTGGTTCCCTTGTTTTTATTTTTCAGAGAGCACATGCACTCACTAGAGAGAGAGAAAGAGGAAGAGAGAGAATGAGAAAGCTCTCCGCCCCCCCCATAGGGAAAGGTCATGCTGCAATCGCTTCTCCTTCTCAGGACTTTGGGCACACATGCACACATGCCTGGCATGTTTCTTATGCTGCTGGGTCCAGACACAAACTGTGCAGCCCTGTGGGATCCAGCTGCCTTCACCACATGCTACAGACTGGCCCTAACGTCTCAGTTTTAACTTTGCACACGGTATGTATTGATAGTTATAACTCACATAAATGAAAGCTCTTTGAGGTTCTCAATCATTTTTAGCTGCACACAGGGGTCCTGAGACAAAACCATGTGACAATCATTGCTACATACCAAGCTCAAGTCCTGCCCTTTTATAGGTGACAACTCATTTATTCCTCACCATGGGTCCTGCTACGATAACTCCACTGCACAGTTGAGGAAGCTGAGGCCGGAAAGGCTAAGTCACTTGTCCAAGCTCACACAGCAGGTAAGTAGCTGAGTTGAGATTCGAACTTGACAGTCTGGGCAGAGCATCAGAGTTCCTGCTCTTCCCCCACAGTGCACACACCACTGTGCACACTCCACCACCTCTTTATTTCTTTTCCATGAGGAAGACAGAGAGAGAGAGAGACAGAGACAGGGAGACGAGCACTCAATAGGGTGGTGGTGCTGCAACCCACGCCTGACCTCGGCCAACCCCAGAGCATGGGCACAGGCACGCCTGGGGTACTCAGAAAGGTCTCTGGAGGCGAACCTGGTCACGAACCCAGCCTGACTCACATGGGAAACTCAGCTCACAGAGCACGTCATTGTGCCACCGCACCACCCGCACCACCATCTGGCCCAGCTGCCACCTCTTTTTGTTGTTGTTAATTTGTAGAGGACGTGTGAGCTCGCCGAGAGAGACCGACAGGGAAAGGGGGAGAGGGAGAAAGCACCCCATGGGGAATGGTCACACTGCAATTCCTTCCCCAGCTCCCTTCATTCTGGGATGTGGGGCATGCACCCTCATGCACCCAGTGCGTTTCTCAAGCAACCAGGTCCAGGACTCAAATCACGTGGTCGGCCATGTGGGATCCAACTCCCTTAATCACTAGGCCTTGGGCTAGCAACCACCCCTACCTCATTTTTGTTTGTTTGTTTGATTAATGAAGAAATGGACTATTTTATTGTTTCTTACTGCTGTGAAGCTGTTGTTTCAGCTGAATAAAATAGCACTAGCAAATGCACTATGTTGCAAAACTAAAATAATAGTGTTCTTCAACACTATACAACGAACAAAAACTTTTCTCCACTCTCAGTTATTTCTAGTGGAAAGATCATTAAATATTCTGACCCTTATCTGCGATGGATATGAGCAAGATACAGTGTTACATAAGGCTTAGGGGGACCAGCAGTTGGCGTAATGGCTATGTCACTGAACTCCGAGTCCCAGGCTTGGCGGCTTAAACTCACACTGGACGCGTGCACATGTGTGCCTAAGATCCTGAGAGGAGAACAGAGGAGAAGGGATTGTGGCATGGACATCCCCCAGGGGATGATTTCTCTCTTTCTGTCTCTCTGTCTCTGTCTTTCTGGTGAGCGCATGACTCTATAGCAAAAAACCTCGCCAAAAAAAAAAAAAAGGCTTAGGATAACAATGTTATCACTAATTACATAATTTTTAGAACTAGCTTTCAATTACAGTTAATTTCATTGATTTCTTAATACCTGAGCCTAGTCTAAGAATTATGGAATATTGTGAGGGACCAGCAGTTAGCCTAATGGCTATGTCACTGGACTCCCATGTAGTCAACTGCGGTTCGCATCCCGGATCCAGTGGCTTAAAACTCACCAGGCGCGTGTGTGTGCGTGCCCAAGATCCCGAGAGGAGAATGGAGGAGAAGGGATTGCGGTGTGGCCATACCCCCTCGGGGGGGATTTCTCACTTTCTGTCTCTCTGTCTCTCTGTCTGGCTAGCACTCGCGCCCTATAGCAACAACCTCTCTCTCAAAAAAAAAAAAAAAGAATTATGGAATAGTGTGAAAAAGATGCATATTGTGTTTATTAAAAATACAATCATTAGAAAATTAAGGGTTAGTGTTCAGAGTAGTTTCTCTTAGGACCAGCAGTTGGCGTAATGGCTATGTCGCTGGACTCCCATGTAGTGGGACCTGGTGGCTTAAACTCACACCGGGTGCATGTGCGTGCGTGCCCAAGATCCCGAGAGGAGAATGGAGGAGAAGGGATTGCAGTGTGACCATCCCCCCTGGGGGTTGATTTATCCCTTTCTGTCTCTCTCTTTCTGGTGAATGCACATGCCCTATGGCAAAAAACCTCTCCAAAACAAACAAACAAACAAACAAAACAGTAGTTTCTTTTTCCACTGGTATCGCTGAAAGTTGCTATTTTAACTTTTCTGCTAATCACTAATTTAAGACAACCATGCTGGCAGTCCTGTGGGGAAGAGGAGAGGAGGGGTGGAAAGAGAGTAGGCAATGGGGTTCTATAGTCATTCTTCTGCCCGTTTCCTCCACAACAACTCTACTGTACACTGTTGTGTGAGAGCCTGGAGACCTGACAGTGACACAATGAGCAAGGACAACAGCAGTCCCCTTTGGAGAGCATGCCGCACACCTTCATCATCTCCCACACGGCCCAACGCACCACTGCGCGGAAGCCCCATTTCACAGAAGCAGACAACTGAGGCTCAGGAAGGGCAGGCCACCAACCTCGGGTTCCTCAACAATCTGTGGGACTCCTGAGTCCCAAAACCAACAAAGCACCACTGGGCCTTGCTGAGAGGCACAGGGATGGCTCACAGACACTCACCTGGGTAGGACAGATGGACTTGCTCAGGGGCACCGCTGAGAGGCCCTCCGGCCGCCTGGGCTCCCAAGGAGAAGAGGAGGAGGCAGCAGCAGGACCAGCAGAGATGACCGGAGCGCATGGTAGGGAGAGGGCAGGGAGCAGAGAGGGGGAGACAGGGGCCGGAGCAGACCAGTTTGCCTCAGGCACAGCA